CAGCAGAATTTTTTTTGTAGCCTTGGCCAGATCTGTGCCTTGCCACAATTCTGTCTCTGAGCTCTTCAGGCAGTTCCTTTGACCTTATGATTCTCATTTGCTCTGACATGCACTGTGAGCTGTAAGGTCTTATATAGACAGGTGTGTGGCTTTCCTAATCAAGTCCAATCAGTATAATCAAACACAGCTGGACTCAAATGAAGGTGTAGAACCATCTCAAGGATGATCAGAAGAAATGGACAGCACCTGAGTTAAATATATGAGTGTCACAGCAAAGGGTCTGAATACTTAGGACCATGTGATATTTCAGTTTTTCTTTTTTAATAAATCTGCAAAAATGTCAACAATTCTGTGTTTTTCTGTCAATATGGGGTGCTGTGTGTACATTAATGAGGAAAAAAAAATAACTTGAATGATTTTAGCAAATGGCTGCAATATAACAGAGTGAAAAATTTAAGGGGGTATGAATACTTTCCGTACCCACTGTATATATAAAAAATGTAGTCTGATGAGTCACAATGCACTGGAGAGATTGTGTCCGATCTAACGCTTCCTTGAACACAAACATCCCCCTCACCTCTGAATTATAAATACCACCTGCCTCCACCTAAACACTGTACATGGTGCAAAGCAGATCATTTGGGTGAGTCAGTGTAGTTTCCCTTGATATCACAGCACAGACCACAGATACTATTCTACTTTAAAGCACTAGAGAGGAAGTCAAATATCTTAAACTGTTAGACAAAACTGCACTAACAAGAGGACAAAACTTGCACCAAAATAAAAATCACACGCTATCCAACTACACATCATGATTGTTTGTGTAGGGTTTACTGTAGTTACAGTGACACGTTTTATGACAAATGTTCTAGCTCCAAATCAGGCGAAATCTATTAGACTTCGTGCTCAGAACTCTGTTTTATAGTGCATTTGGAAAATGTTTCCTCCTATTTCTCAACAATGTTCTGCAATACACTACCAGTCAAAAGTCTTTGAACAGTAAAATTTTAATGTTTTTTAAAGAAGCCTCTTCTGCTCACCAAGCCTGCATTTGATCCAAAATACAGCAAAATGTTTTACTATTTAAAATAACTGCTTTCAATTTGAATACATTTTAAAATGCAATTTATTTCTGTGATCAAAGCTGAATTTTCAGCATCATTATTCTAGTCTTCAGTGTCACATGATCCTTCAGAAATTCTAATTTGCTGATTTGCCATTCAGGAAACATTTATTATTATTATTAATCAATATTTAAAACAGTTGAGCAAATTTTTTCAGGATTCTTTGATGAACAGAAAGATCCAAAGATCAGCATTTATCTGAAATAAAAAGCTTTTGTAACATTATACACTATACCATTCAAAAGCTTGGGGTGGTGGGGTTAATATAGAAATTAATACTTTTTAGCAATAATGCTTTAAATTGATCAAAAGTGCTGATAAAGACATTTAGAATGTTACAAAAGATTTCTATTTCAGTTCTTCTGAACTTTCTATTCATCAAAGAAACTTCTACTCGGCTGTTTTCAACATAATAATAATAAATGTCTTCCGAGCAGCAAATCATAATATTAGAATGCTTTCTGAAGGATCATGTGACTGGAGTAATGATGCTAAAAATTCAGCTTTGAAAAATCACAGAAATAAATTACATTTTAAAATATATTCAAATAGAAAACAGTTATTTTAAATAGTACAAATATTTCGAAATTTTACTGTTATTGCTGTACTTTGGCAGACTTGATAATAAATGCAGGCTAGGTGAGCAGAAGAGGCTTCTTTAAAAAACTTTGGTTTAATAAAAAGGTACACTACACAAACACCAGTTTCTACAAAATTCAGATATTTCAGCAGTTTACATAAAACTATATTCACAAAACAGGCCTGACATTTGACAACTAAAATTGAAATTTGTGTTTCCTTCATTACTTTTACTATATTTTAATTTATGCAGAATTTTATTTTTGAATAAATAAATACATCTGGATAAGCGTTACTGTTAACTAAAACAAGAACTAATGAAGTTAATAAAAAAGTATCTTTAATAGAAATAAAAATTTCAATTAATAATCTACAGAATTTTTGCCATTTGCATGTTCCCTGTAGATTAATTAGTATTTAGAGTAACCCTTTCAGGACTCAAACAGGCCACTTCTAACCTATGAATGGACACACCAATGTCAAACTCACCTTTAAAGTGCTGTTTAAAGCTCGAATCAGGTGTAGTTTCTCACTTTTCTTTAAATTTCAGTCTCTCGCGAGAACTCTGGTCTGACGCATGCGGGTTCTCGCGTTATTTCCTTATCACTTCTC